AGAAATGAGATGTATTTAAATACAACCTCCATTTACTCATTGAGTTGGAATTTTTTCGGGTTAAATTTTTTCCGGAAATGAGAATTTTGTATTTCAAATGTAGAATCGTCGCTACTGGGCTTGTGCCTCAGTACATTTATAGAATAAATCGTAGAATTTGATACGGTCATATAGGGATTTTAAAGGGTGTCTACCGGGGGACCGTCCCACACACAGGTGAAAAAAGCTGGTCCACAACTGGACCGAAATATTTTCTTATTGAAATGTTTTTATTAACTGGCTATAAGATAAATATTTCCGATTTCAGATCATGTTTCTTCATTTAACCTTCGTTTCATACTGCAGACCATGATACTTTCAAATTACTCTGACCTTCACTCATTCACCCCTGAAATTTCATAATGGACTATTCCAACCTTGATTTAGAAGAGTTCAAATGTGTCTTCAGGGGTTAACGAGTTAAAGCTTTTGCCAAGTTTTAAAAATCAAGAACCCAGGGGGTCTTAATGTATGTGGAAACTGGAGTACCAGGGCATTCACCCCTACCTATCTAAACTGGACTTGCCCAGTCTTTGATTTGTTAAGGTTCAGATGTGACTTTAGGGGTGAGTGGGTTAAATGTCGCAAAAAACAACCCTGAACTAAACAGTACAGAAATAGCTCAGGTATATTGTAAATACAAGATAATTTAGATAAATATGATTTTTGATAATTTTACTTCAAAATTTGTTCATTTGATATTTGAGAATTGGAGAATTTTTAGATAATCAAATGAGTACAAATTGTTTTCTTATTTTATTTAAAAACTTATAATTATAATTGTCATATGTTTGATAATGAGAGGTAAAGAGACTACAATGAATTAGTTATGATGATATATGAAGATCGAGTGTGAGAGACAAAGATCTGTGTGACAACCACCGGTAATATTTTAAGTTTTATTTGGTTATACAGAAGAACAGGGCTCTATTAATCATGTGTATTAGTCGTCAGCTTTTTCGTAAAGTTCATTAGTGTGTTTTAGTCGTCAGCTTTGTCGATCATAAAGTTCATCGGAGCCACAAAATGTCAAAGCGTTGTAACAGTTGTTTGTTTTTCACATTTATGTATGAAAGGGAATTTATGACCTGTGATAATTGGTTAATTAATGTTTATAGCACCTAATAAGGATATAATTTATTCTGTTTTAGTTAACTAGCAGGAAACAGGTGCTGGTACGTACAGTACCGTACAGTACCGGTAGCTGTCTTCAGTTGATTTAGGGTAAGCTTAACCCATTCACCCCTAATGTCACATTTGAATCTTACCAAATCAAAGACTTGGCAAGTCCAGTTTAAATAGTAGAGGTGAATGAGTTAAGTTAGACTGATATAATATTTAAGTTTTTGAGGTTCATTCAAAAGCAGTGTTTTTTCTACCTAAATTTTACAGCAGCCTGTTCAAGCATGAATTGGGAAAATAGAGCATTGTTCTTATTGAAATTGGGAAGATATTCTTTATTTTTTCTTTAATAGGGGAATCAGCACTTTTTTGTTATGGGAAGCAGCCTGAGTTTGGCTGTAAAACCCAAAGATACCGAACTGTACATAAAACTAATCTGAATGTATTGTTTACACAGGAATTGTTACCAAATTATCTTTTAAGATAAAGAGGTTTTCATAGGTTGTCTTAAATAACCTGATAAAAACAGTATGAGTATATAATCCTTTGAAGTCCAAGCAGAGATCAGTTTTCAAAAGAAATCTACTTCCAACAACACACATTTACTTCCCTGCATATGATGCATTGTATTTTTGTAACTGCATGGACTAGTGTAATGAAGATTATCAAAATCTATATCAATTTTGCACTTTTTTTCTGTGGATCAATCAAATTTGTCCGAGACATGTTATCAACATAACACTGATCATGAAACATGTTACTTGCGATGCCTGATAATCAGGGCATTCAAAATGTCATGTCAAAATAATCACTGTGAAATCGTCATTAAAACCAGTGTTAGTTCTTTCAGTAAAATCTGATTGGTTTAATTCAGTAGTTACACTTTTCATTTATAAGTTAATAAACTTATTGTGACAGATTTACAAACTATTCACACCTGTGAAAAATACCTGTAATTAAGATTCTGATTACAATCGGGTGCTCATTAACAGATGTATTTGTGGTGGGTTGACACAGGTAAGTAGCCTGTGTCATAAACATGCCACTCCGTATGGTCAGGCCTCACCTGTAATTATATGGCACACCTGTAAACTGGTATAGCAAGGTCGTTAACGTGTGGTCATCACGAACCATTCATCGCTGACCATTCATCAGCCGTAGCGAGATAAAACGAAGTTTAGAGATTGTGATGAGCATCTCTGTATACAGCCTACCATTCTACCTAATAAGCTCCCCACCAGATGTACCTCCATCTTAAGTCTTGTCAGAATAGTTCATCACTCCACCTTAACCCATTAACCCCTAAAGTCACTTTTGAACCTTACCATATCAAAGACTGGGCAAGTCCAGTTTTAAAATGTAGGGGTGAAAAAGTTAATTAACTGATTTACATTACTTGAAGTTGAATAAGGTTTATATTTTTGAAGATTCTGCAGTCATTGAAATTTTACCAAATTCTAAGTGCTCTGTATAATGCATCAACAGTTGATTCAGTATTTTTCTGTCATAGCATTTTGTATCAAAACAGGAATTTTAACAGATTGTCATCAGTTTGCCTGGAAAAAACCCTGAACCGCCTCGTTTATTGTTCTTTGTCATCATACATTTAAGAATTATCAAAATTGAAGTCTATTCATTCGTTAATTCTGACACTTGTAGTGTTGATTGATGTGACCTTTGACCTGTCGTACCTGTAAATACCTTTATCAACATTTCCAATCAGCTTTAATGAGGTGTTAATCTAAATTTCCGATAAATGTCCGAAAATTACTTATTTCTGTATTTCTTGTCTTCAGACAATCCTTTTGATTCCCTATTTCCTTATTTAGGAAAAAATTGTGTCAATAAACAAATTAGAATTAAAATAAAATGAACAGATCGATTCAATGACTTTTGAATTGTCATACCAATCTGAACAAGCATAGAAGAATATTTAAAGTTTTAAAGTCATTCTATGAGAAGTATTAAAAAGGGTTTTGGGGGAAAAGCACATCGGGACTGCTTACATCAAACTCTGTGGCCTTGAAGAATAAACCTTCCATTGTGTTAGGATGAATGTCACACCTTTATCTTGTCAGTCCACACCTGTTTGTTACTCGTTAGTATAGAGACATGTACCAGTATACTTTCCACCTGTTGATAACTCGTTAGTAAAGCTACCTGTATACTTTCCATATGTTGTGAGTTAGCACCTGTACAAATTTTCCAATGTCAGACTTATCCAAGAGGACAATTAAGGAACACTTGAAGACATGGACAATGCAAATTGATGTGAATAAAATATGTCGCCTATCTTGGTAGATAGGCCAGTAGTTACACTTCTATATAGTTTGGTTTGGTTTGGTTTGTTTGTGTTTTATATCCTATTAACAGCTATAGTCATTAAGGACGTGCCAGGTATTGATGGTGGAGGAAAGCCGGAGTTCCCGGAGGAAAACCACCGACCTACGGCCAGTACCTGGTGACTTCCTCATGTAGGCCTCGAACCCGGGACCAAGTGGTGGAGGGCTAGTGGTAGCAGAATGTCTGACGCCTTAACCACTTGGCCACGGAGGTCCCTGTATGATAACTGAATATCAGGAAATTTTTCGCTGCAGATATATTTTTGCCATTTTCGCCCTCTGGAATGAGGGCGAATTCATCATTACAGCGAAATATTAATCAACAACATAATCTACAAAGTAATTAAATGTGAAAGGCGAAATTAACACTGGGCAAACTTGGATTTCACAAGCGAAGGGCGAAAGTTTGACCGAGTGAAAACGTCCCAGTATACATTACTAACGAGCTGTACTCCTCATTTACCTGTAAATTAATTAACGAGTTAGCACCTGTACAATTCTGGGTGTCACAGGATGGAGCAGTTGACATTAATTCAGTTTTCAAGGTAACATTTTGTTTTCAATAGAATGCAGATATGTAAAATTATAGTTGAGTATATAAATTTTTGATGTAAGGTTTTTGATTCAAATTATGATTTGGTGTTCAGATCCTTCTGTAATTAATTCAATTTATCTGAATGTGTTGATATTCAGCTGTATAAGACAGCATAGTTTTAGTATCCTGGTACCTGCATGTACATGGAATGAAATTGACATTTGTTTGTCTGATATTTAAATAAAATGCATCAAGTTCAAGTTTTCTTGTCAAATTATTTTATTTCACTACCTTAAAATTTTGAGTTTGTAACCCACATAAATGATAAAATTAACTTATAGTGTTTGTCAAATATATGTTTATAAAATGTTTGAAGATTTCATTTTCTTGTAACTTCATTTCACGTTTTTATACCAAAATGTTTAAGTTGTAACCTGAATAAATGATAAAATTTATCGTTGCGTATTATCGGAAAATATCGTAATGATTAACTTTGTATGATGCACTGGTATGTGTAATGTTTTGTAGATTTATTTCACCTGTGTACCTAAACCTTGTTTACAAACACCTGACCAGACACTGAGTGACCACTGGTGGCCGAAGCATATTTTACGAGCTGACCACCAGTCTTGTCGCTCTAGCACTGACCTGCCATGATTACATGTACCTTACCTGTTACTTACCGGAGTTTGATTGACAGGTTTACAGGTGTACGTATATTGCATCTGTCTATATATCTGAAGCTTATACCCCATTTGCTGTATATTCCGCACCAGAGGCATGATAATGTATTTGTATACGATCTAGAACATCAACACACAACCCTACTCCCCCTAAACCTGCAGCGGACCTGATCCCACTCTCCCATACACTAATGTCTTATCAGTAGGAAGTGATACCTGTGGAGGGGACAGAACAAGTTGGACTCTCCCACCACTAGGCTTTCCCCGCACAGGTAAACTCTAGCAGTAGGAGTTATAGTAAAAACTGTCACAGAGGTAACATGTGACACAGGTAACACGGCTAACGAGAAACCTACTACAGGTAAAGGTGTAGCATGACATAGATGTACAGACGACTTATCAGGATAAGAACCGACACATCTGTTGATAGAGGCGATCGTGTTTGTTTAATCGGCAATGTTCTAAGGGGGTCTGACTGCCCTCCTTCGATTGTCTCAAAGCATTCGAGGATAAGTGGTGTGTATTTTCCTGGGAATTATTTACTCTAGAGTGTCAGACAAATGTCCATTTGCGGATCAGACTGACCAATTCACTGGTCAGTCATATGGATTCATATTTTAATAAGTGATCAGTTTCATTATAAATTTGGATGCTAATTATTTTCCAGAAACGTTTTACGTAAACAGGAATATTTTCAGTAATTTCGTGACATTTCAGCACGGGATTTATCAGGATTTATTCATCATCGGTGAAACAGGTTTGTAATATTTAAAAAAAAAAATGATTTTAAATATGAAGTCTTGAAAATGCATTGAAATAAAATATTGCACATGGAAATATTTTCTACAGGACTAAAGAAATACCAAAAAATCTCAGATGCAATTCTTTTCGAAATAGGGTTTACATGGAGGGTTTGTAGGGAGAAACCACTAATAAACCACTATTGGTATGACAAGATGTTAATATTTGTCAAAATTAGATAAAACAAAATTAATTAATAAACAAATTGTATTCCAATTGAAACAATGGAAGAAAGAAAACCTTTTAAAGCTTTTAATTGAGACAAATTTTCTCATGAAAAAAAACCCAGAGTAAAATTCTTGCCAATATAATATTTAAATTTGAAATATCTTAGATGCATATCCATCAGTTTTGATGAATTGTCTGTATGTTAATTTTGAATTATTTTGAACAAGGACAATTAAATCATTTTGATGGAAATTCATACAAGTTATATATGTTTCAATTTACTTATACTCTGTACAATACTCAAGTTAAAAGTCAATTATGGATATTTATGCAGAATTAAAGGGAATTTATTCCAAATATTAATTATCTGGTGACAATTTGATTAATTAGGATAAATGTGTGGCTCTTAGTTTTTAGTTTGTCGCTGATCTAAGGGGAGGAAGAGACCTGTCAATCAAAATAGGAACTATATATAAATTATACCTACCTTGGCAAATTAATGTCTAATAGAATTGGAACTATATATAAATTATACATACCTTGGCAAATTAATGTCTAATAAAACTGTTCATAGGTACAGTACAACCATTATCTACCGATAATAAAAACATTATTTTAATTATATACATTAGATTATGATGGCCTCACTGGAGTTACGTATGTTTATTGCATAGAAATTTGTATTCCATGTAAATATTGTTGGAAAATTGAAATATTTCAGCGACTGACACTTTACACACTTTAACATACACACTTTGACATACACACTTTACTGTTCTGTGAATTTGATCAAATATTTGGCAGACTTTTATATAAAAATAATATTTTTTCTAAAATGTCAAGGAATGATAAGTTGCAGCCGGGTAAATACTGGAATAAATACGGCTTCTTATATGTAACTCTCAATTCTCTTTCAAGAAAAATACTTTCATCATTTTAGTCGCACAAGAGTTATATATTTATCTGATAGACTTAAAAGGGGCTTTTTCAATCATTTTCTCCCTGTGATATTTACCGGAAGTAAAAATATTACTTATGACTCGCTCAGGATAATGGTTACTATGTGCATTTCCTGAAAACCGTTCACATTTTCCGTCTCTACCTCTCTACTGTAGTAAACGGTCGGAGTTGACAATGCGTGAGAAAATTGTTTACACTATAAGTGGACTACCTTACTTTGTGTTCTGATCACCCAATCTGTTAAAGGGGCAGAAAATTGTGTGGTGGAAATGAAATTTTAGATACGGCAGTACTCAGCAGTACTCGGTGTAATATAACTGTGGACCTAAGCGAACACTCTTTTCACACAAACAAACATAAAAGGAACAAACTCAGGCTTCGCTGGCTGCCACACTTTACTATTACACCCCAAACTTGAATGCATGAAAGAAAAAAAAATCAAATAACGTTTTTCTCGTATATTAATTTCGGTTTGAAATATTTATGTTTGTCGTAAGCTCGTGCATTTGATACCCTTATCGTTCAGTTTTAGTAATTTAATATAAATATTTATGAAAGTGTGTCGACTGCACAAAGTGAATATTGAAACATAAGACAATTATAGTTACAGACTTGGACTCGTGATCCCGATATTATTCCAACATCAGTTATTAATAGTTTACAACCTCAAGCTTGGATAGTCTATAAAATATGTCTCTTTGAAGCAGAAAAAAGATGTCCAACTCTATTTTGAAATCAACCATGACAAGATATTGGGGGAAACTTTGTTAACAGAAGGTAAAATGGCGGAGGCGACAACGTTACATATGACAATCTTGTCCAAAGATTTAGCATAATGCGATACTTCTTATGATAGTGCTTTAATTCATCTTTCTACGTCATGGAATTCAAAACTTTGGAATCAATAAAACCTGCCTAAGTTGAACATTAATTGAAAGAATTTGATTTTTGGTCCTAATAAACAGGTTAAATGATGATGGCAAAGTGGTTTCAAGCAACATGTTTTGAAATAATATTTTTGGTTTTGGTTTATAGATCCTGGCCCGGCATAGGTCTGTTGTGTGTTGTGTTTTTGGTTTATAGATCCTGGCCCGGCATAGGTCTGCTATGTGTGTTGTGTTTTTGTTGAAGATACACTAATTCCAGTATTTATTTCTACAAGCGGTTGATTTGTTATTTTTGAAGTCTGCGTCTGTCTGCTGTGTAAATGTTTGGTGGGAGGAGACTGGAGAACCACAATTTACCTACTGTGTCTGTGGACGAAGTGACGGAGATATTTATCTCTGTAACAACATATGGTCTACTGTACAGTTTACAGAAATATTTTGTTTAAAAACAAATATATAAACATGTTCTTGTATGTAGTAGCCTTATGCTTCATGTAGAATGATTTTTTGAAAAAATTATTTTGTGACATGCCATAGAAAGTGTCTTTGTTAATTAGTGGTAATAATTGGCCGACGATTTCCACAGTTATACAGCGTTTAGCTCGCTTGCGACTTCCTGCAAAAATTTATGTATATATTGGTCAGTCTCTAAAATTTGTTAAATTACAGAAAATGAATTGTTTTGGAAATAGTTTAATATTATTGGTCTACCATTTTCAGTAAATACAGCATTTAGCTCACTTGCTTTTTTTCTGCAATGTAGAATAATAAATATTGGTCAGTCTCTGAAATTAGTTGAATTACAAAAAGTGAGATGCTTGGAAATAGTTTCACATGAATCGGTCATTGAGGAGGGTCAAAGTAAAATTCTTTAAAAAAGTCGTTCTAGTCCAGTTAGGGGGGAGGCAGGGCATACGAAATGCTGACATATTAGATATAAGGCTGGAGAGTGGGGGATGGAATATAAAATTAAAACATATGATCAGCATCGTGACTTTTCAGCCAGCTTCTGGTCAGTGAAGATTGAGGGGATGGCGATAATGGCCACCTGGAAATGAGGGGAGGGGGTGAAATGGAGGTGACAAACTGTTATGGGAGGTATTTTGATACCACTCAGACTAAATCAACACAAACCACATGTTTGTAGTGAACCCTACTGTACACTACTGTCCAAAGTCGGGGGGGGGGGGGGGG